GCCGAGCCGAGCGCGCGCAGCAAACCCGCCTGCTGCCCGTCCCTTCTCCCGGGGCAGGACGGCTGCTCCGGCTGCTGCGGGACACGGCTCAGCCAGCGCGTGAAGATGCATCGCCATGGCCAAACAGAAGCTAATATGGAGACATCCAAATGGTTTTCCACAGCAGCAGGATTTATGACCTTCTCTTTCCCCTTTACTCTCGCAGTATCCCCAGCATATTAAAAAGCCTGATTAATGGGAAACGCAAGCCAGCCTGGCTGCATTTATTCCACTGTATAAATAAAGCTGATGCTGGTAATAATTAAGCAGTTACTGCATTTCTTGGGGAATTACATCCCAGGCGTGCTGTGGTCTGAGGCAGAGAAGCTCCAGCCACCCAGGAAGAACAACTTCATTGAAGTACAAATCCTTAAGTATCTTATTTCTGCTACAAAGCAGATCTCCTGAAGAAGATAAAGCTGTTGTGGCCTGTGAAGCAGTACACAAACAAATAAGATGTTGCCAACAACCAAGCTGCTGCAGCCTGAATCCATCAAACTGTACGTTTTGACTGCAAGGTATATAAACTTGGCCAGGGGAAAGAATTTAATTAATCTTCATGGGAGGTTAGGGGCCTTCTCTAAGACTGCTTTGCAAGTCCCTGCATTAGTCTATAGGGAAAACATGAGAGCTCATCCCTGCGTAAATATCCTGATCAAGCCATGCTGGGACTTGGCAATAGGGTCATGGTAAAAATCTGGTTTGGAAGCTGTCCCCAGGTTTAAACCTGAAGCTTGAGACCAGTTCCAGCCATTAAGGCCCAGCAGTCTTCAAATTTCATGTTGTTGTCTTACCCCATGTGCGGGCATCTGACATAGGGCTCAGATACTGGGAGTGGTATTTAAATAGTTCCCACTAAGATGTGCATCCAGCTGCCTATGTGTCCACGTTCCTCCAGCTATCTGAGCAATTTCTAATGGGTAAAGTAGCAGCTGACAGCACAGAATTATCCCATGGGCACATTACCTTGTGAGCAGGACTGCCACATCATGATGCAGTGGATGGGAATCTCCTTTAATGTTGATACTTTTCTGCCATTTGCAGAAACTTTTCAAGGTGTTGTCTGCGTGGTGGGAGATTTTCAGATCCTCCTGCCAAAATGATTAGAAGCTGTCACACTGCTGCTGGATTTGTTGGGTTTTCAGGATGCAGGGGAAAGGGCTCTGATCTCAGGCACCTCAGAACGAAACCAGAAGTAACCGCCAATCAGATGGAATTGCTCCATATTTATAAGTTGTAAGTAGGGTGGGAATCCAGTTCTTTTCTACTTTCTTTTCATCTGCGATTCAACTGAAACATTATATGATCTAATACAGGGGGTTAGGAAGCGCTGCGGGAAAATATTCCATCCTGACTCATGTGCTTCGGGGAAGGATGCAGCTGGAGCGCCGCGCTCAACAGCTGAGCGGCTTCAGGCTCCCCGAGAAGCATCTCTGCAGCTGGGAAGCACAAACAACCGCCGTTTCACATCCCCCGGCCAACGCTACTGGCTGGGAATATTCTTCCCGACCCGCTGGCCCCCCGCGGCACACGGCCGGCCCGGCCGCTGCACGGGGGCTGCTGCTCCCCTGCCTTTGAGGGGCTGCCAAAAGCCAAACAGCAGCACCCGTGGCACTGGGTACATCCGATACGGCATGGGAAGGAGGATGTTCTGATGGGAAACTACCGGAGCAATGTGCAAGTGATCAGTTTTCCTAAGAATCAGACCCCACAGCTCCTCTGACCATGGAATCCCCTCCCTGGGATGCAGCCCAGGCAGAGCACAAGGAATTGAGGCACCAGCTCTGCCGTCCCCTTGCACCAGCGCGTCCCGGCCGGCTAGCAGCACACCAGCGCTCCGAGGCTTTCCAGGCCAGCTCTCCCTTTATCCCGGGGCTGGCGGAAGGGATGGAAACGTGACTCACACTGTTTACTTCTTACCTCCTCCTCCTCCAGCAGGATGAGCCGCACGATAGCAATGTTGATGGGGTTTCCAATGCTGGCGTGATGGAAGAGACCTGCCACCTGCAAAATGCAAAAGCCAAATAAACAGGGCCAAAAGGAAAGCCACTGCCCTGTGACAGCGCTCCTGATACCAACATCTACAAGGGAACAGAGCGCAAAGAGAAGCTACTGGAAGTTGTTGACAACATCCCAGTATCAAAGCAAAAGACAAGACCAGATGTAGATTTGGACTGAAGTATTTGTAGTGCACTGACATTTCTGTTTGAAATTGATATAATTTCTGTAGCACACTGGAATTCAGCCAGAAATGCCTGAAGAGCGCCTCAGCTTTCCCTCCATCATGGATGTGCTCGACCTCTCAAAGGAAGCCTGCTCTTCCCACCACGGGGAAATCCAGGGATGCCACCCGAGCTCCTCTGCCAGCGCCGGCCCCTTTCCCGGCCACCAGCCAAAGCCCTTCTCCAAAACGCAGCTTTTCTGAAAGGCAGTGCACTCCCACAGCAGTGCCAGGGAGACGGGTCACACCAAACCACGCTGCCTTCCCTGGTGCTTTTATGGGGTTAGCGAACACCGCGCGGGTCTGGAGCGCAGACCACCACATCCACTTGGCTCGACCCACGCAGAACTCACGATGCGACGTGTTAGTTCGTTAACACATTAAACCACGCAGCTTCCAACGAGCTCCCCAGAGCACCTCGTCTTAAAGCACCAGCATGAGCTGCTGAGGAATTTGAATCCAATTATTGTAATTAGCTTTTAAAGCCTGCCTATAACTTTTATCACCAAATGCCACGTTCTGGAGCCAGGAATAGAGCTCAGCTATAAGCTGATGCTGCGCTTGCCTCCTTCCCTGAGCGATTCACAGCAGCACCTCCCCAGGAAGGCACAAAAAGGGCCACGAACGGCCCCTTTGGTGACACCCCAATGACGTCCCAGCAGGGACGAGTCTTGCCAAGGCCAGTGGCCTCCACGTGCCATGGCCACCAGGACTCACCATGTTCATCACGGTCAGCACGTACTTCTCGATGTTCTCGCTGCCGTGGTATTCTACCATCTTGGTGTCCGCCACCACCAGCGTTTCCACCCACTTCTCCTTGCTGATGGAGCGCTGCTTTATCCTTCTCCTCTGCTGCTTCTGTTCCCATCTTTCCCTCCGTTTCTCAGACCTCTCCAGGTTTTCCTGAGATTCTGAAAGATTGAAGGGAAAACACCTTATTGATAAAATGTCCACAAAATTGGTAAAATATCACAGCAGCATTTTTTTTCTTTTTTTTCCTTTTTTGAATTAAAGAGAAAGCAAGTATTTGGAGTAAGTTCTCTCACTGAAAGAGGGTTTGGAATATCCCACGAGGAACTTGAAGACTCCATCAGACACAGGGATCTCCAGTGCAGAGCACTTTGGTTTGAACTGATATATGAATTTAAAGGCAGGGATGTTGGACACACACGCTGAGGGCCAGCACCGAGCCTCACATTTATGATTATAATCACACATCTAGATTTTTGCCAGGGAAAAGCGGTTTCCCAGCACAATAAATTCCATGCCTCAAAGCTGGCCTGATGTCAGCCAAATGCCAGAGATCATGAAATGCCCTGAGCAGGGCTGGAACATGCGGGGCTACCCCGAGGCTTCCCAAGCCACACGGAGGCTAAATCCCGCTTGCAGGCTGGATCCCTCATTGCTTGTCACGGGAGTCGTACCCGAGCAGGAACAACAGGGACATTTAGCAGGCTGAAAAGGCGCTGGATGCTGGAGGAGAGCGCGGACATTCCTAACCCGAACGAGCAACTGGGAATTCTCATACAGAGACTTTTCCTATGACGCTGCTCCAAGACCAAGGTCAGGGTCACTCCCAAGCTGGGTAAAGGCTTTCTAAACCACATCACACACAGTGGGAATTGCTTTTATGACCAATTTCTAAGGGTTCGGCATTACTTTGCAAACAATGGACTTTCACATTTTATGGACTATATCGTACTTTAACTTTGAAAGAGTGTTTTATCCTCCAGCCTGAAAAATCCTAAGTATCTAGATAATTTGACGGATTGCTAATACCAGTGTGACAGTTTAATCAAAACAACTTCCTTGGAGCTTGTTTCCCTTGTGTCTGCAGCTGCTAAGCTCCGTCCAGGATGCCAGGATACTCTGCAGAGCAGGGGTGCAGTAGGTTCCCTGGATACCAGAGGATTTGTATGGCATTTTTGCTTTGAGATCCCTCTTAAACACTTCCTCAGCTGTACACACAGGCTCCCACTATGCAGCCCAGCCTAGTGACAGAAACTAAATACCAGGGTCGGTCTAATGCCGTCTGGCTGGGGGGTGTTTTGCACAGAAAAGCAGCAATGTGTCAATACAAAATGAAAGACCTGAAGTAATACAAATCCTACAGACTTTATGCACCTTTTCAGGGTGCATAAATCACATCCACTGGTCTGTATTCCAGCAGAGATTCGCGTGCATTACAAACTGGCTAGTATACCATATCCAGCCAAATGCATCTATAATTAATAGACTTCAAAGTCTAGAAGGACTCATTATGATTATTACCATAGGCTAAAGAAGTTCAATTCACTTAGGTTAACAGAAGGATGCCTAAGATGATCTGATAGTAGAAGAAAGGCTTTCTGAAAGCAGAGCTCCAAGAGATAAGCAAAACACGATGCACCAGCTGGAAGATGCAGCTTCACAAATTCGGACTGGAATTAAAGCATCTAGTGAGCTGCTAAGAGCTGGAAAACTTCTGAGGGGATGTGTGAACGAACTGCTTGAAATCCTTACAGCAACCTTTGGGAGACTTTCCAAACAATTTGCTCTAGAGAGATGAGAGGTAACCCGCATGCACTGCCTTGGAACAAAAAAACCCATCATCCTCCATCCATTCTTTCCAGTTTTACCCCATGGACACTCTCTGTTGTGATTCTGTCCATCCGGGAACAATTTGGGACTGTTTCCTACAGATCTGCAGCTTCCTCCTTTGCACCAGGGCAAAGGGGCACCCGTGGTGCTCGGCCGCTCCGCAGGACGGCGATTCCCGTTGTGCAGCACCGGGAGCAGGGGGCTCAGCGTCTGGAGAGCGCTCCAGCCTTCCAGGCGAGCTGTGAATTCACGGTTACAATCTGCCCCAGGCTGCTCTTAGGTAGAAAATGCACCTCTGCTCCCTGCTCTCTCGCCCCTCAATTTGCATTCCATGACTACTGTTAGTCAGATGGGTCAAGGTGAAAACTTGGATCCACTGGAGTAAATGGGAATTCTGGTACTCAGTTCATGGGAGTTGAGGTCTTCCTGAAAGCCCCATCTCCTGGCAGGCCATAAACAGAGGTTTGCAGGGAAATGAAACCAAGTGCTCAGCCTCCCCATCAGAAACGACTTGCAGCAGGGCCAGGAGGAAAACAGGACAGCAAGAGGCTGAGGTTCAGCAAGCAGTGAAAAAAACAATAACAAAAACAAAAAAAAGCCTGTGCTCTGAGAAATCCTGTGACTTATGGGATCCAGTCATGAACGCTGCAAAATCATTGCCTGGTGATAAGCAAGCAAATTTTCCCGATGCGCAGCTGGCAACAGCGGTCAGCCTTCCCATCACAAGAAGGCTGTGGAGACGCCCGTGCTGGCTCTTGGGGAAGGCTGGCTGTCCCCAGGAGGGGCCCAGGCGTCCGGGCATAGCCCTGGCAGGGGCAGCCCTGCCAAACGGGACCTCACTGTGCCCGGGACTCTGTAAAATTCCTGGTTTCCCCACTCAAAGCTTAGGTTCAATTACTTCTCTTAGTGGTCCAGGGGGGTTTCCTTCCAGCCTAGGTGGCAAGTGGGACCTTCAGCAGTGACTTGCAAAACTCGCACCAAGAGCAGCGTCGTTCGCGGGTGAAAGTCGTTACTGGCAGCTTAGCACGAGACAGGAGTGCTGGGCCTTGGGACTAACGTGTCTGCAGAGGGGACCCAGCACCTCCAGGATTGGTGCATTTTCATTTCTGTTTTTACTGGACACTTCAAACTTACAGAACTGAAACGACGAATGCTACAGCGTGTAGCAGCGAAGCTGCTACAGCGTTATTGCAAATGCGGGAAAAATCAGAAAGTACCTGGAACTCCACACGCTGCTCCCGGTGTCGGCTCCTTCCCGGCTCCCGGTCCCGCTGGGCCGCGCTCCGGGGCTTGGCGCCTGGAGATCCTGTGGGGCTGCGCGGAGCCGGCCTCGCCGGAGCGCGCGGCCAGCGGCTCGATGAAATAATCCTCGTCCTGGAGGCGGAAGACGCCCTTCTAGCAGAGAGAGGGAGAGCTGTAACCGAGAGCATCCGCACCCGACACAGGTAACGTCAGCGATGAGAGCGGCTGGCAAAACCTCCCGGGGGAAGAAGAGGTTTTCTCTAGAGAAACTATTTTTACTGATGTTTTGGGCTCCCAGAGAAAAGAGAACAATCTGTCACGGACTGGAGTTTAAGAAAGCAAAAAGCTAAAGAGACCCCAATCACAGAGAGTGAAGAGCCGGAGGGATGTGTGATGCTGAGGACTGTGTGGAGGAGCTGGACAGAGGAAAGGCCCCTCCGGGCACCAGAACACAGCACGGGTACGAGCATCTGGTCATGGGCAGCGTGTTCTCCTCTGCACTAACGTCACCTCCCCCTGTCCTTGCTGGAGAAGCTCTGGAGTGTGCAGGGAACCAGCCTGGAGCACCAACTTCGACCACCAGGCCCACCAGGCACCAGCTTGATTCCTGACTATTTCTATGGCTG